TCGTCCCCGTGGCGTGCATCCAGCCGGATAAGTCCGGCTCGTCCTCCGTGCTCTCGCCGACCTCAATTTCCTCTGCTTCCATCTCTTTGCCGCCGTGCTCGAACCCAAGGTCCTCCCCCAACACGTCCATGTCCGTCTCTCCCCCGGTCTCCTCCGGGGACGTTGCCTGCCAAGGACCCCCAACCACTTCCTGCGCCACTGCTCCTCTGGTTGATTGTCCCACCAATAGGAACGGTCTGAGGCAGACCCGAGGGTGATCCCTCCGGGAACGTGTTTCTAGTGCCGGTTCCTCGTCCGAGGTGAACCCCTGGAATGTGCTAGCTGAAAATGTGGGTGTGAAAAGCCAGTCGTCGAAATACTCGGCTGGCATGGGCCTGTGTGGGAAAAGTGCATGGAACTCGTCCTTAAGCCAAGATTCCTCCAGAGCATAATCTGGCACCCAACTGTTGGCGCTAGCCGAGGTACCTTCCTTGGCGAGGAGGTATTCCACTCCCTCCTCCCCCATCTCGAGTCTAAAATCTCTGTGACTTCGTTGACGGGTTCCCGCCTTGGCGACCCCCTTGTGGGCGTTTCCCTGAACGGGTCTGGTGCCGTTCCTGGCTCCTGAAATCTATGAGGTGCTTTGTAGGGCGTGAGCACTGATCTATGGAAAACTGGGTGCATTCTGGATCCCTCCGGCAGTGTCAACCGGAAGGCCACTGGATTGACCTGTGCCTCGACTTGGTAGGGTCCTAGCTGCTTATGCCCTAGCTTCTTCTTCGCTAACGATCTGGCCGGCACTGCCTGGGCTGCTAACCAAACCCAGTCTCCCACCTGTATGTCTTCCCCAACCCTTCTGTGCTTGTCAGCCTGCAGTTTGTATGCGTGCTTTGCTAGTTCTAACTGCCTCCGAAGCTGTTCGTGAACCTCCTGCAACTCTGATGCTAAGGCTTCCGCTGCCTGTGGCTGCCCCTCCCCCGCTCTCGCTAATCCCGGGAAGGTTCTGGGATGCCTCCCGTTGTTGGCGAAGAACGGTGTCACCCCCGTGGACACGTGCTTCGTGTTGTTGTAGGCGAACTCAGCGAGCGGCAGGTAGTCCACCCATGTTGCCGGCTGCTGATTTGCGTAGCATCGCAGGTACTGCTGCATGATGGCGTTGACTCGCTCCGCTTGTCCGTTCGTCTGCGGGTGTCTCGCCGACGCTAGGTTGATCTTGACGTTCAGGAAACCCATCAGCTTCTGCCAGAAGTTCGAGATGAACTGTCGCCCCCGGTCGGACAGGATAGACCGTGGCAGACCGTGAACCCTGAACACGTGGTCTATGAACAGTTTGGCGGTCTGTTCCGCCGTGGCCACCTTCGCGCACGGAATGAAGTGGGCCATTTTGGTGAACATGTCCACCACCACTAGCACTGCCGTCTTGCCCCTCGAGCTGGGTAGATCCGTGACAAAGTCCAGGGCCACCCTCTCCCACGGTTCGAGCGGTGTCTGCAGCGGTTCGAGCAGTCCCGCCGGCGGTTTGTGCACTGACTTGGCCCTTTGGCAGGTGTCGCACCTCGAGACGTAATCCGCGACTTCCCCCGCATCTTGGGCCACCAAAAATCTCTGGCTACTAATTCTACCGTCTTCTCTTTGCCAAAGTGCCCGGCGGTGGGTGCGTCGTGCAACTGCTGCAGTACTTTCGCGCGGAGGTCGTCTCCCGGTACGTAGGGCCCCTCTGCGGATGAGCAATCCGTCGCGTATCTGGAACTCGTCGTCCTCCGCCGTGCCCCTTTGCACCTCTGCCATCTTTGCTTGCGCGAAGGGGTCCTCCTGCAGTGCTCGACGTACAGCATCCAGGTCCACGGTTGCTGAAGCGCACGCCCACGCTTTCGGTGCGAAAATGTGCTTGGCCGCTGCTGGTGCCGCCTCCTCGAGGTATTGCGGCTTTCTGGACAGTGCATCCGCCATGATGTTGTTGTCGCCTGGGATGTACTCTATCCTGAAGTCGAAATCCGCAAAGAACTCCGCCCATCGTATGTGCCTCTGGTTCAGGAACCTTGCCGTGCGCCAGTACTCCAGGTTTTTATGGTCCGTGCGGACCTGCACTGTGTGTTTGGCTCCAATGAGGAAGTGCCGCCACGCCTTGAATGCTGCATGAATGGCCAGCAACTCCCTGTCCCAGATGGTGTAGTTCTGCTCTGACTTGCTGAGCTTCCTGGAGTAGAAGGCACACGGTCTCCAGTCCCCATGCGGGTCTTGCTGCAACAGTACTGCTCCCACGGCTCTGTCTGAGGCGTCCGTTTCAACCCTCATCGGTCTGCTGGGATTCACATGCAGTAGCTGCTCTTCGGACGAGAAGAGACGCTTGAGTTTCTGAAAGGACTGCTCCGCTTGCTCCGTCCAGATGAACTTCTTCTTCTTGGAGCTGAGCGTGTCGGTAATGGCCGCCGTCTGCATCGCGAACCCCTTGATGAACTTGCGGTAAAAGTTGGCGAAACCGACAAACCGCTGGACCTCCTTCCGATTGCGCGGGCTCTTCCAGTCCAACACTGAGCGAACCTTGGCGCTGTCCATGGCGAGCCCCTTGTCCGACAACTTGTAGCCCAGGAAATCTACCTCCTTCATGTCGAACTGGCACTTCTCCAGCTTGGCGTACAGCCTGTGCTCCTGCAGTCTCTGCAGAACTTCCTTGACGTCTCCCTCGTGGGTCTCCTCTGATTCTGAAAATATCAGGATGTCGTCCAGGAAGCAGACGCATTTCTTGTAGAGGAGACCCGCCAATACGTGATGCATGAAGGCTTGAAAACAGTGGGAGCCATTTTGTAATCCAAAGGGCATAACTCTGTATTCATAGGTGCCCAGGGGCGTGAACATGGCAGTCTTCCATTCGTCGCCCTCCCGTATGCGAATCAGGTTGTACGCCCCTCGCAGATCCAACTTTGTGAAAACGCGTCCTTTCCTCACCGTTGCGAGCAGGTCATCTATCTTGGGCATGGGAAAGGCTGTGGGCTTGGTTTTCGAGTTCAAAATTCTATAGTCCACCACAAGCCTTTTTGGGGCGTGTCCTTCTTCTTCACAAAGAATACAGGACTGCCCCCACTGCCTTCGACTCCTGGATGAAACCGCGCTTCAAGTTGAGGTCTATGAACTCCCTGAGTTCCTGCAGCTCGTCTTCAGACATGGAATACAGTTTCCCGGTTGGCAGCGTCGCCCCTGGCAGGAGGTCAATCTTGCAGTCATAAGACCTGTGGGGAGGTAGCTTGTCCGCTTCCTTCTCGCAGAAAACCTCCAAAAACGCTGCGTACTTGAGTGGCACTGCTTGCAGCGTGCCTAATTGTAGCTGCGGGTCATCCTCTTCCCCTTCCGGGCTAGGCAGAATGCAATGTTCCGCACAGTATGAGGAGCCGAAGGTCAGTTGTCGCTGGTACCACGCCAATGCTGGGCTGTGCCTGTGCAGCCAACTCATGCCTAATACTATAGGCGTGTCCGACAGTTGGGTGACATTGAAGCTGATGACTTCTCGGTGATTCCCAATTTGCATCACCATCGGAGGCGTTTGCTGCACCACCTGCCCCCAGCAATTCCCTGCCATCCACCGTGACAACTTTCAGAGGCAGCGTGGCTGGCAGGAGTGCTATGTTGTGCTCTTGAAGGAAATCCAGTCCTATGAAGTCTGCGTTACTACCAGAGTCAATGGTAATCGGCACTTCCATAGTGAGTCCATTGGGTAGTTGGAGCGATGCTGTGAGCTGCACCACTGGTTTGGGCGGGAGGGGGTCTGTGGGCTGCAAAATCTCTGGGGACGGCTTCATTGACTTGTCTGGTTGGGCCCCAGTGCCTCTTCCTCCAACCAGACTCTGTCGTTTCCCTGCTGTGGTTCTCTCTGCTGAGTTGCTTCTGTTACTGTTGCTGAGGCTGCAGTGTGCTTGTGGAGCCTCTGGGGACACTCTTTCGCCATGTGCTGAGCACTGTCGCAGATGTAGCACTTCCTGTTCCCTCTAGGAGGCTTCGCTTTGACTGCTCCCGGTGTTAAGGCTCTGGTTGCTGACTGAGCCCTGGCGCCTCCAATCTCCATCGGTTGCTCTCCCCCTCCTTGCGGAGGTGGGGATTGCACACGCGCTGCATCCTTGGGAAAGAGGGAAGGTGCTCTCACTGGCGTACGTCCCCAACGTCCTTCTTCTCTGTTCCATGGACGTTCTTCCAGACGCACCCCAATTTGCAGCGCCCGCCGGACAACCTCCTGAGTGCTCTTTGGTCTCTCCCCCCTTGCAATCTCATCTTTCACATTTGCATTCAAGCCTTCCCAAAAAGGTCTCTGGCTGGGGCAGAATCCTTCTCCCATCCCAGCGCATGGACTAATGCAAAAAGCGGGAATGGTACTGCCTTACACTGGCTCTGCCTTGTTTGAGCCCATGTATGTCTTTTCTGGCGATATCAATGTCTATATTTGATAAAAACACGAATCCATCGCTTTAATGAATGCATCCGCATTTTGGAGCGCCGGATCCTTATCTCTCCACAGATTGCGCAGCCACGCTTTAGCTTCCCCATGCAAATGGGACAAGATAAACCCCACCTTCTCTTGCTCATCTCTAAAGTCTTTATCCAGCAGTTCCAGCGCAAACAGCACGTCTGCTCGGAAGTTAGGGTACTGCTGCAAATTCCCATCGAAATGAGATACCAGGCTGCCTCCTCTTTTCCCCAGCCCAATCCCCTCTGATTTGGGTCCCGGTTGCCCCTGCTTAGCAAGCACTTCCAACCTGGCTTGGAGATCCCTGCAGGCGGCAGCCGCTTCCTCTTCCCTTTTCCTGGATGCGAGTACCTCCGCGTTGAGTTGTGTCACTGCATTTTGCAGGGCTGCTAGTTGCTGTTCTGTAGTCATCTTGCCTGACTTTTGTGAGCTCGCGAAGCACCAATCTTCTTCCCTCGCTGCGTCCACTCACGTTACGAGGTTTTGGTGCAAAACTTTTGGAGATGGAGCTTACTGTCAGAGCTGGCTCCAGGTCCCAGCTCACAGAGGACCAACGCTAGCCGGCAGTAATGTACAAAAGTCTTTATTGAAGTACAGTTTCCATTTTCAAGCCGGAGCGCCCCAGCTCTACGTCTAGGGGTTAGATCGGCGAAGCTCCATCTGAGTCTCCGCCCCCTGTACACCAGTTTAAGATTCTAGCCTTACTCCACCTCTTACGTCTCTCCTTTCTCCTCTGGGTCCTGCTACCCCCCGGGGTCCCTTCCTTCCTGGATTCTTCTGACGCTGACCCCCTGACTCCTCCCCCTCTTTTCGGCGGGCTTTGGGACCTGGCTCCCTATCCGGGCTGCCAACTGCGCCGCCCTCCTGTACATTTGAACTTGGCGCGCGCGCCCAGCCTTCAACCTTCCTCTCGACCGTTTCCTCGCTCCCCGATGGAGGCGTGGCCAATCCTGACTCATGTCCTCCCACTGGCAGTGCGCCGCCTGATCCCGATGCCTGGGACTCCTCCCCCCTACTGCACTCTGGTGTGGACGCTGGTCCTGATTTCCAACTGCTGCTCTCTGAGTCCCCTCTGGCCCCTTCTTCCTGGGGTGTCCCCCTCGGCACCCCCCTTGCTCTGACCAAGGGAGCCCCTTTCTGTGAATCTTCCGATTCGCTGGAAAGACTCAGAGACCTCGGACCGCTGTCATCGCTAACATTTCCTTCGGACTCCTCCCCCTCGCTCTCTATTTCCTCCCTTTCCTGTGCCTCTGCTCCTGAACCCCTGACAGGAACGCACCAGGAATTGCTATCTGTCCTTGAGCTAAAGGAGAAACAGACCAATTTAAGGATCAGAGCAGTACCTGAGATTGAGAAAGAGAGCCTGGTAGACTTTTTGACACAAGAATTCGCCAATTTTTGGCAATTGGAACGATAAGGAAGATTTCAAGATAACGTCTGCTTTCAGGCTTGGAAGAGGAGCAAGAAAGAACAGAGTGAGAGACTGCCTGATTACCTTGCGATCTAAGGAGGAACGAGATAAAATCTTGAGTTCACACTACCGAAATACACTGATAATACAAGACTCAAGGATAGAAATATTTAAAGACATTCCAAAGCTCCTTTTGGAGCTTAGGTCCAACTACCGGGACCTGGTGATGCTGCTGAGAGGAAACAGAATTTTTTCAGGTGGGAATTTCCTCAAGGCCTATCTTTCAGTTTTAAAGGCAAGAAAATTAAAATAAAATCTGTGGAGGAGAAACAGAACTTTTGAGAGACCATCAAGAGGACCTACAAAAGGATTGGGGGAGGAGCCAGAAGCCCCTTTACCAGGATTGGATCCTACACTACCACCGTTGGGAGAGGATAAGACAGAGAAGGCGAAACCACCAACAGAGGAAGAAGAGTTATTGGGAGCAGTTGGAGGAAAATAAAGAAATCATCATGGCTCTGCAACTTTTAACTTGGAATGTTTGTGGTCTAAATTCTCCGGAAAAAGGAGGAAAGTATTTCATATACTTAAAAAAGAACAATTGGACTTAATCTGCTTACAGGAAACCCATGTGACGAGGCTCCACAGGAAAATATTGATTAATAAGAGATTGGGTCAAGAATTTATTTCATCAGATAAAGTTAAAAAACGAGGAGTGGTCATTTACGCAAAGGAGAGCCTCTCACCAAAATTCGTCTTTAAGGATGAACAAGGAAGATTCATAGCAATTGAAATTCAAGCACAAGGAGAAAAACTTTTGATAGTAGGCTTATATGCACCAAATGAGGGGAAATCTATATTTTACAAAAAGTTGCATGAGATCTTGATGGACTATATGGACTATAACACTGTTTTTATGGGAGATATGAATGGGGTGGTTTCCACAAACATGGACAAGTCACAAAGAGAGGTAGTCACTAAAGATGGCAGACTACCGAAAACATTCTTTGAATTAACTGACAATATGGATTTGATTGACATTTGGAGAACTAGGAATCCCCTTGATAGAGAAGGAACCTTTTTTTCTGAAGCCCAAAAGACATGGACAAGAATTGACCAAATCTGGACTACTAGAGGACTGGCACCTAAGGTTAGGAAGGTAGAGATCTGTCCAAAAACATGCTCCGACCATAACGCCGTGAGAATGGAGATGAAGTTAACATCTACTGGTTCCTTCCGATGGAGGATGAATGACACCTTGTTTAGAGATCAAGAGGTGATTAAGAAGGCCCAAAAGACATTGAGAGACTATTTTGAGATAAACTTGAATACAGCTGTAGAAAAAAGAATAATCTGGGACGCAAGTAAAGCTGTTATGAGGGGCTTCCTGATTCAACAGAATTCAGTTAAGAAGAGGGCCCAAAATGTAAAGAAAAAATTCTGGAAAAAATAAAGGAGGGCGAGAAGAAACTGAGAGTGAAGCCCAACTCACAAGAGATTCTGAGGGAAATAAAATTGCACCAAGTGCAGTATATGAAATTGATAAATCAAGAAGTGGAATGGAAAATTAAACAAATGAGACAAAAGACTTTTGAATCGGCAAATAAATGTGGGAAACTGCTGGCTTGGCAGTTGAAGAAACGACAAAAACTCAATACTATTACTAATTTGGAAGTGGAAGGGAAAATATCCAGAATCCAGAAGAAATTAGGAAATGCTTCCAGAGATATTTTAAACAATTATACACACAAGGGCCTCAGAAAGAATTTGAAATAGAGCAATTTCTGAAAACCAATGGATTACAAAAATCTCTCAGGATAACAAGATATTGCTGAATTATAAAATTACAGAACAGGAGGTTGAAGGTGCCATTCAGAATATGCAGTTGGGAAAATCTCCAGGACCGGACGGTTTAACCTCAAAATATTACAGAACTTTGAAAGACTGGCTAATTCGACCATTAACTGAGGTTTGCAATGAAATTTTAGAGGGGAAAAGAGCGCCAGAGTCGTGGAAGGACGCATTTATTACACTTATACCAAAGTCTGAGACTGAAAAGACACAGCTTAAGAACTATCGGCCCATATCCCTGTTAAATGTGGATTACAAAATTTTTGCTGACATTTTAGCAAAAAGGCTTAAAAAGTGCTAAAAGGAGTGATTCATAAGGACCAAGCTGGCTTTCTTCCAGATAGACATCTTTCGGATAACACAAGGAATATAATTGATATTCTGGAGAAGCTGCAAGAGGAGATTAACACTAAAGCAGTTTTGATTTTTGTGGATGCAGAGAAAGCCTTTGATAATATTTCTTGGAGTTTTATGAAGAAAAATCTCCAGGGGATGGGGGTAGGCCAAGAGTTTGAAAATGGTATAAATGCAATTTATTCAGAACAAAAAGCTAAATTAATAGTTAATAATGTGATAACAGAGGAAATTAAGATAGAGAAAGGGACACGACAAGGCTGCCCAATTTCCCCATTACTTTTTATTTCTGTTCTGGAGGTTTTGTTAAATATGATAAGAAGGGACCATTTGATTAAGGGTATAACGGTCGGAGCGAAACAATACAAACTGAAAGCATTTGCAGATGACCTTGTACTGACATTACAGGAGCCAGAATCTAGTACGAAAAGAGCATTAGAACTGATTCAAGAGTTTGGTCAGGTGGCAGGTTTTAAGCTGAATAAGTTTAAAACTAAAGTACTTGAGAAGAATTTAACACCGATTGAAAAAGAGAGGTTTCAGAATGAGACAGGTTTAACAGTGGTAAAAAAAGTGAAATACTTGGGGATTCATATGACAGCTAAAAATGGGAATTTATTTAAAGACAATTATGAAAAGTGTTGGTCGGACATTAAAAAGGATTTAGAAATATGGACAAATTTGAAGCTTTCCTTGTTAGGTCGAATTGCTGTCATCAAGATGAATGTATTGCCAAGAATGCTGTTTTTGTTTCAATCGATACAAATAATAGACAAAATGGATTGTTTTAAGAAGTGGCAGAGAGATATCTCTAAGTTTGTCTGGCAGGGCAAGAGGCCCAGGATAAAATTTAAAATATTGACTGATGCTAAAGAAAGAGGGGATTTGCCCTGCCAGACTTTAAACTTTATTATGAATCAGCAGCTTTCTGCTGGTTGAAGGATTGGTTACTTCTGGAAAATACTGATGTTTTGGACTTAGAAGGTTTCAATAATGTGTTTGGGTGGCATGCATATTTGTGGTATGACAAGGTTAAAGCTCACAAAATATTTAAAAACCATATTGTCAGGAAAGCATTGTTCAATGTCTGGATAAGATATAAAGACTTATTGGAGAATAAAACCCCAAGGTGGCTATCACCAATGGAGGCAAAGGCCCTGAAAAAGTCCAATATGGAGGCCAAGTGGCCAAAATATTGGGAGATCTTGGAACAAGAAGGAGATAAATTCAAATTGCAGAGTTTTGAAAAACTAAAAGATAGAGTGCGAGACTGGTTGCATTATTACCAAATAAGAGAGGTCTATAATTTGGATAGAAAAATTGGCTTCCAGGTGGAAAAATCAAAGTTGGAAACAGAACTGCTAGATCCCAAAACTAAAACACTATCAAGAATGTATAACTTGCTGCTAAAATGGAATACTCAGGATGAAACGGTAAAATCTGCTATGATTAAATGGGCACAGGATGTTGGACACAACATTATGTTTGCTGACTGGGAACGGTTATGGACCACAGGTACGAAGTTTACAGCATGTAATGCTTTAAAAGAGAATATAATGAAAATGGTGTACAGGTGGTACATGACCCCAGTCAAGCTTGCAAAAATCTACCATTTGCCCGATAATAAATGTTGGAAATGTAATGAAACTGAAGGTACATTCTTTCACCTTTGGTGGACGTGCCCAAAGATTAAGGCCTTCTGGGAAAGGATATATAATGAGTTGAAAAAGGTATTTAAGTATACCTTCTTAAAGAAACCAGAGGCCTTTCTCCTGGGCATTGTTGGCCAATTGGTGCCAAAGAAAGATAGAACTTTCTTTATGTATGCAACAGCAGCAGCAAGGATACTTATCGCAAAGTATTGGAAGACACAAGACTTACCCACTCTGGAAGAATGGCAGATGAAGGTAATCGATTATATGGAATTGGCGGAAATGACTGGCAGAATCCGTGACCAGGGAGAAGAGTCGGTGGAAGAAGATTGGAAGAAATTTAAAGACTATCTACAGAAATACTATAAAATTAATGAATGTTAAATTGAGGTCTGATTGAAAATAACTGGTATTGGCAAAAGCCTAAGTTTAAGAGCATGGAATATTTGATTGATAAGGTTGTAAAAATATTTTTTTATAAATTGATTTAGTTTCTTGAGTTAATATAAAGGAACTAGGGTAAGGATTTGCTGAAAGGAGTTTCTAAATGGAAATACAAGTGGGGAGGTGCGGGAAGTCAAAGAACTAAGGAAAGATAAGAAGGTTAAATGAAAGTATAAATTTTTAAATTTTTCTGTTTCTTTTTTTTCTTTCTTTTTCTTTCTTTGTTATGGATATTGTTATCTTTGTTTTCCTTTTGTCACTGTTATTGTTGTTTTTTTGTCTGTGGAATTTTTGTATTTTTGTATCTTTTGGAATTTTTGTAAAACCAATAAATATTATATTAAAAAAAAAAGAAAAACTAGCATTGGCTGAATTTGCGTGCAATAACGCTGAACATGTGTCAACGGGAATGAGCCCGTTCATGGCCAATTATGGGTGCCACCCCAGAGTGGCTGAGGAAGGTTGGAGTGTACCGGCAGCAGAGCAGTTTGTGGAAGAAATGGAAGCCCTGCACCAGCAACTCAAGATGAACTTGGAGCGGGCCAAGGAAATTTACAAGAGGCAGGCAGACAAGTGCCGTAGGGAAGGGGAGACCATACGGGTGGGAGATCGGGTGTGGTTGTCAACCCAAGGGTTACCTTTTAAGGGGGGGTGCAAGAAGTTGCAACCCAGGCGGTTGGGACCGTTTGAGGTAACACAGCAGGTGAACCCCGTGGCATTCAAGCTCAAATTGCCAGACAGCATGAAGATACACCCGGTGTTCCATAGGTCCCTACTCTCACCGTACAGGGAAGGAAGGGGATTCCCGGGGCGAGAGGGAGAAGTCACCACACACCCGCAGGTAGAAGAGAGGGAGCACCACAACTTGGCCACGGAGATACTTGATTCAAGGTGGCGAGGGCACCAGGTGGAGTACTTGGTGGCTTGGGAGGGAGAACCCGGGTCGGAAAACACGTGGGTTCCCGCAGAGGCAATCACTGACGGGTATCTGGTGGAGGAATTCCACTGCCTGTTCCCAGACAAACCCAAACCACTAGCGAGATTCTGGGAGGAGCAATTTGGAACCACAGATGATGAAGAGGATTTTGTGGGTTTTTCTGTCTCCGAAGGGGAGGGAGAAGAGGCTTCGGAGGACGAAGAATCAGACTGGGAGGCCCACCCCGCGGGAAGGGATCAGAGCGGGTGGGAAGCGGGTTTTGAATCCTCATAGGATGGCGACAGCTCCTTCCGGGGGTTCCCCGCATCGTCGGCCGAAGAAAGGGACGAAGTTGGGTCAACAGGTCGGGTCGGGGGTGGAGGGGGTCCTGGGGGGGAGGTGGATGTCAGGGAACTGACATCGGAGCTAGAAGCGGAGGGAAGGCTCTCAAATGATGCTGGAGAAGGGCCCAGCAGGGAGAGAGGCAGCTCCGCAGATGGGGAAGCAAATCAGCGCAACACCAGGGATAAAGAGGGGCTGATGGGGAATCGGCGAGAGGGCTCCAGGACTCTTCACCGGACACCAGCGGGGAGAGCACGGGTCCTCCGCTACCCACGCCCACCCTGTGCAGAAGACTTCCGCGCAGAGAGAGTAGGAGGAGACTGGGTGTCAAACAACTTTTATGTTGGAAAAGATTTAAGAAACGCCCACTGACAGATTCTGCTAGCGACTGAGGCAGCCACAAAGTGAAGGGCTGCCCAGACTGAAAGGTCTAGCAAGGCAACAAAGCCTGGAGAGGCGGCAACTTACGCACGAGCAACCCATACACATTACAGCAAGACAATTTGGATATGCAGTAGATATTAAAAATAAATTTAAGAGGGGAAAGGAAGTTTTAAAATGTCAAAATGATTATAAAATGTATATGAAATGTATATATCTGGAAAGTATAAATAAAATTTAAATAATAACAACAATAATAATTTGTCCAGTCTTAAGTTCAGTCCACCCCATTTCCACATCAATATGTGACCATTTACCCAAAGAAATCTGTTCGCAGGAAAGTACTGTTATGTGTTTAGGAGACCAGTCTGGATGATGCCAGGTAGGGCTGGGAAAGATCCCCAGCCCAAAACCTTTGAAAGCTGCTCCCAGTTGGTACTGGGCTAGATGAACCAATGGTTTCACCCAGCACTAGTTATTATTTTTGG